TATATATATATATATATATGATATGCAGTGTTGTAGTAGCCACTTAGGTCCCAGGATATTAGACACACAAAATGGGTGATGTAATATCTTGTACTGAACCAATGTCTGTTGATAAGAGACAGAAGCTTTTGAGCTACACAGAGTTCTTCTATATTATGGAATTTTGCTGCTTTTCTCTTGACATGTTGTACTTACAAAATTATATATATATATATATATGATATGCAGTGTTGTAGTAGCCACTTAGGTCCCAGGATATTAGACACACAAAATGGGTGATGTAATATCTTGTACTGAACCAATGTCTGTTGATAAGAGACAGAAGCTTTTGAGCTACACAGAGTTCTTCTATATTATGGAATTTTGCTGCTTTTCTCTTGACATGTTGTACTTACAAAATGTTTTTAATCCAATGTTTCTTTCTATGTAGAAAATTGGTAAGAATTTACCTATAAATCTCACCAATGGGTGAAAGAGTTGTTTTAATCAAAATTTCTAACCCCACAAGCAAACAGGATAAAATTGTTGAGTATTAAATATTTAGGTTAATAACAAAAGGGGAGTGTTTAACAGACATCAACCTACTAAGGTGCATGTGATATAATCAGACTGATCCCTGGGCAATATTTTCTATAGAATTTTTTGTTTAGTTTTGCTGTACATTATATTTTGCTTCTACCATTAAACAGGATTTGTATTTTATTTTTACTTATTCAAAATGTACATACAAATGTTTAGTGATCCATCTGACAGAGAAAATTTTTGAGCAAACGCAGACAATAGGATCTAAACTGAAAAATAAAGCAGATTGTGTATTCACTAGGCCTACACATTAGATTAATATTATGGAACCAGATTTTTCTGCCTTTCATTATTCTAAAAAAATAAAATTAAACAAATAACAACTGGACATACAGGAGGAAGCCAGAGGAAAGGAAATCCTTGCAGAACTTCCTCCACATTAGAACTTAGGGTTCGACACGCACACTTCCCCTAGCCCTTTTTCTTAACCATCCCCCTGTACGTCAGATGGGACAGGCAGTTCTGAGTGCTTGGAACATGCAGACCTTTCAGAGCCCTGGAGCTTTCACAGCCATCTGTGCCCTATATTTCTGAATCAACTCCATTGCCCTCTTTTCTGCTACTGGTTCTCTAGTGTTTTGGGGTTCTACTGGAGCCCTGCTGCCAGGGTTTCATTTAAGCACTGTTGTTCTTATTGAGCTCTCAGAGTTGGGGAGTTCAGCATATAAGTTAAAAGTCTCAGGGTCTCTCTGCTTTTTGTTGGACAGGTTGATGATATGGAATGTGCACATCTGTACAATCATTGACACCTGCTGCAATAAAGACATATATGTTGTTAAAATTCAAGGAATTCTCTAGCAAACATCGTCTAGCAAAAAAAAAAGCCAAAAAAATAATTTCTTACTTAACAGGATTGAAAGATTTTTTGCTTCGATCCGACTGAGACTGTTCAATGGCGATTATCTGATTTGGGGCATCCACCTATAATTAAAGGGCAATACATGTTTCAAATACAAGTTTGAAAGCATGACAGGTTAATCTTTGAAAATGTTAATTTTTTCATAAATAAACATAAAGGGTTGTAATGAAAATAGATCCAGAGTCAATATGCAAATTAGCTAGAAACCAAACTCTCTCTCAATTGCTGTGAAACCACATATAGCAACATAGGAATTGCCACCTGTTCAGAGCAGTGTTTCACTAGTACATAACTGACATTTCAAAAGAAAGTGCAAAGCCTCCATCATGGACAATTACGCTATAATATGTCAAGGGGAAAGTTTCTTCCTGATCCCAAGTTGTTAAAGGTTAATTTATGTCCTGTAGCATGAGTGTGGATATCTTTTAGGAATATTTATACTAACTAGGGAATTCCAGAAGTTATTTTTAGACATGTATATACATGTCAAGCTTTTTTTCAATACCCCGTAATGAAGTTCCACCTGTTAACTATGCATTAGAATTCTAAGAACATGAAGCAAAGCAAAGTTCTTAACAATGCTGTAAAAATACCTATACAAATATTTCAAGCCACTACCCTTTTCTGGTAAATAAAACCTAGAGCTAATCTTTCTGATGGAGAGGAAGTTGAATATAAAAGCATTGCTACACACAAAAGGCATCAGAGGATGAAAGATGAAATTTTGGGTCCCACTTTTTACTGGCTGGAGAGAGTTTAGTTAATTTTCATAGATCCTGAATTACGGCAGATGCCTAAGATGACTTCCACTTCTGCTTTGCAGAAATCCCCATTTAAACTATCATTCCACATCCAAACCACGAACCTTCTCTTACCACCCTACACTGTTTACATATACAGTAAGCCTGATTAGGTCATTCTGAAACTCAGCATGGCTTGTTAGCCTTTCTCTTTTTGTGGATTGTATGGGAATAAAATTAGATTTTTACCACTTCTGTAAACTACAGTGTACTTGTTTCAATTATTCCGTATTCATGATATGTGATTGACCACCTAAGTCACATAGTCCCACCTGCATTTTCTGATTGGATGACAATCTTTAATAGGAGGGAAATCTGTGTCATCATGATAGCGGTGCAAATTTTATGCCCTTCATCATACAACTGCACAAGGATGCACAAAAATCTTACTATTTGCACACATCCCAATGAACAAAAATGTTGCTCATTCTATCATTCATCAAAAAACTAACAAAAAGCATGATCAGTAATTACATGAATTATGTTTTTATTAGGATGACAAAGGTTTTTTGCTCTATTCCTCTGGCTCTGTTGATAATCATGTACTTATAATGAAGTAGAATTAAAAGCACTGGGAGACTTACCTTAATTCCAAAAGTTTTCAAGTAAAACTTTTCAATGGGTTTCAATCCCAGGTGAGTTTTGACATATTTTGGATTCCCAACAACACTAATATGGACTGAGATCTGGAAATGGTTCTTCTTCTGGCATACAAAAGCATCATCTGTTGCTGAAAAATTAAATCCTTTGTCTGTGACAATGTGGTATCCTACATCAGGGCTATGGAAACAAGAGTAAAAAGCAGCAGCAGTAAGCAACCATACATTCAGTGACAAATGATGTTTATGTTCCTTTGGATAAAGTTAAATAAATTTGATTCCTACTAATGAAATCTAAGTGGGAATATATACAATCTCAAGCAATGGATCTATATATGTACTGCTTTTATCGCCACAGGACAAGAATAGGGAATTCTTTAAAAATTGACTTATAATTCCACTCTGGCACCTTACTCATATGGAGGTTAAGAGTGGGGGAAGCTTACACAATTCTTGCTTACAAATCATATAAAAAGCACTCCCCAAATTACAGCAATTTATTCTCAGAGCTCAAAAAGCACTACTATAAGTAACTGAGCTGAAAATGCATTGTGTTCAGTGATGTGCAAATGAGTCATGTTCACTTCTTGCTTTGTTCCAGAATTGTTATAGCCAATCACTTCCACAGTAGCTGTTGAGGTGGAGCAAGGTTTTAATCAGGATAAACATACAACATATGCATTCTAGAATGAACGATCACTGTTTTAAAGCACTGTTTTTGAATGATGTTCTTCATCTACAAAGTAATGGAATCTTATTTTGTCTCCCTTTATAATTGGGTTTTGAAAATCTTTTGTAGAAGAATGGCTACCTTTAAATACATTGTTGAATGTCCAGGAAGGTTAAAGTGTTCTCCTACAGGTTTATGAATGTTACCATTCCTGATGTATGATTTGTGTCCATTTATCCTTTAGCATAGAGACTGTCTGGTTGGCAGAGGGGCACTGGTATTAAATGGCATAGATCACATTAGTAGAGGCAGATGAACCCCTTACACCCTGACTTGATTAACCTAATTTACACTAGTACCCTCTTTCTTTTGTTGTCCTTATATATACCCATGCCTTTGTAAACCTCAACACATCTGATGAAGTGGATTTTACCCACAAAAACGTATGTCCTATTAAATCAATTCATCTTTAAGATTCCATAAGACTCCTCGTTTTTCCTCATTAATGAGGGATTTGATTATAATGATCAAATTCCAATATGGAATCCCTCAGTAGCATAGCCCTTAATGACAGCTTCTCAAGACTAATCTATTCATTTATCCTTGTAAGTTGGAAGGATTTAGTATAAAGATTTTACAAAAGATTTATAAAGACAAAATTATTTTTGAACAAACTTTAAATCATGATTTTTGGCAAAGAGAGCAAAGCTAAATAGACTTCATAAACTACCATATTGCTTCTGAATTCACTTATTTTTAACGATGATCATAATAATGAGTAGGTCAGGTGTTAAAAGCATCATCGCTGAAGAAACTCCTTACGTCTCTATATAAATCTAGAGATTTCTTCTCTGTAAGGGCAATGCCAATTTATAAACTGATGATTTAAAAGCAGTTTCTGAACATTTGCTTAAATGCAGACATGTGGGTCAAGAAAGAGACATACAGTGCTGCCTGTCCCAAGAGGAATGATTTGGGTTGAAGGTTATTCTGAAGAGTACTGTCATGTTTGGATTCTTACCCACTGTACATCTGCATAAAGCAATTAAGAAACAAAATCTAGGACTGATTTTGCAAGGAGCTTCTCTGGGAGTGTTCTCCGCTTTTTCCTTTACTTAGCTAATCTAACTAGACCATCTAGGGCTCAGTTATGTTTCTTATGAGTCTGAGCCATGGTGCAGCTGGGAAGGAAGCAGACCACTGGTGTGCCGGAATGAGACAACAGCATGCTTCACTTATCTATCTCTGATGTTGACAGTGCTTCTTCAGTGCAACTCTCCTAGAATACAGGAGAGGAGGGGAGGAGTCTGTTTCTTTCATAACACTGGGAGGGTACGTCTAAACGACACTAAACTTTCGAAAGAGGATATGCAAATTCTGTGGGAATTTGCATATCTTCTTCTGATCGCATTTTCAAAAATGAAAGTAGTCTAGGTGCAGGGGCTTTTGGAGAAAAACCATTTTTTTAAAGAACTGTGTAAACCTCGCAGAGCAGGTTTTTTTTGAAAAGGGGTATTTTTCGAAAAAAATGCATCTAGACTACTTTCATTTTCGAAAGATCATCTTTCGAATATGCGATTGGAAGAAGATATGCAAATTCCTGAAGAGACTTAGTGTGTGGACTCTATGCTGCAGCCCAAGGTGTATGGGAAGAGAAGAGAAAAGCTCTCTCATGCCTTTCTTCCTATTCCTATAGGGGCAGGTGTAATTTGATCCACAGAGTTAAATCACAGACTGAGAGCCCCAATCCTTCAAACTCTTCACACAAGAAGGTGCCACTGAAATCAATATCAGTTCTATGGTCAGCGGTGTTGCAGGATTGGACCCTTCAGGGTCCAAACATTTGTGCACATATGGTCCAACTGATGTCAGTAAGGCTGCTCACATTAAAAGGATAATCATGTCCATAAAATATGAGAGGATCATGCCCTACAAGTGTTCTATGAAAGCAGCCAATCATGGTATGAAGCCATTTCTTCTGCACTGATTAACCGTGCTTTACACATCTCTTTAAAATGTAGCTATAGATAAATCTGTTAGCAGCAGCAGAAAATTAAATAGTTACAGGGCAAGTGGGGGAGAGTTTAACCTATGGATTTAAATGTTTAAAGTGTGTAAAACATAAAATAAACAGAGTAGGGCTTTTAAAAAATAAATACATAATTCTGTTTCTCCTAAATAAATATTGAATTACTTTTTTCCCCTTCTAATTTTTGTACTTGTAGCTAGGAATTACAAATACATTTATTCTCATTTTCTTGATGTAAAGTTTCCACAGGCAGCTTCATAATGATGGTAAAGAAGAATCAAAATATTAATTTCACAGAACATAAGATTTTAAGATTACATGAACTAGGTTGCCGCAGTCAGGACTGATTTCTCATAAATATACATTGGCCATGATCCTAGAAAAATGCATGCACGTGTTTACATTCATGCATACAAATAGCTCCATTGATCTTAATGTGACTTCTAATGCGTATAACATTAAGAACATGCCTAAGTGTTTGCACATGCCTGATTTTAATTAGTATTTATGTTCTAACTGCAGAAGGCTGAAAAAACACTCAATAGCCAGAATTTTCAGAAATAACTAACAATTTTGGGTGTCCAAATTGAGATACCATAAAGGAGCCTGCTTTTCTGAAAGTGCTAAGTATCCACTCTCAAAAACTTGGGCCCTTTTAACGAGTTTAACGAGATATGGTAAAACCGGGCCCCCCCAAAAATCAGCCATTACTTTTGAAAATTTTAATCCATAACTTAAGAGTTTGCAGAAATTTGAGAAGTTTTTATATTGAAACAGGACTAAGCCACACAGATCAGATTTAAACTTTCCCAGAAATGAGAAATTTTCAAATCTAGAATTTTAGTTTCATCTCCTCTTAGCTTTTATAACTAGAACAAACTGGCACTTGAGACAACAGGCTTCAGAATGGAATTCCTCTCCCTCCCCTCCGGTTTACACTGTGACAATGAAAACACTAAAGATTAAAAAGAAAACGATATTTTTTCTTAGAAACAAAATTACAGCATTCTAAAAAGGAAGAAATGACTTAGCAGACTTAGACTTAGCAGTAATGTTCTTTTGACACACATAGGAGATAATATAATCAAGTAGAGAAATTCTGTACTATGATCATAACTACAATGCATCATACAATGGTACTCAAAGCCATTTCCCAAATAATGGTCATAATTTATCTATTGAGGTACTTTTATGGCAATCTCATAGAATCCGTTCTTTGATACAATGCACGAAAAAAAGAACATCAGATTTAAGTTTTGAACAAAAGGAGGATTCAATTGCTCATAGGCTCTGTATTCTGTCACCTCTAATTGACAGCTGAAATGTAGCCATTGACCAAAAGTTGTTGTGCAGTATATTGGAGGAGGCAGGCCACTTCCTCATGGAGAGGTATCCAGGACACAATCACCTCTCTAAGCTGGCTGGGAAGCTTGCTGACTTTCCCAGCAAAGACATAAAGATTTGAAAAGCAGAGACATTGAACTATTGGCTCACCCGGAAGAAAGTCTTTTTAGAGGTGGGTTGGACGGGATGGGGGGACGACCAAAACAAATACTAAAATCACCTCATTCTGCTGTTCCAGTATTGTCTATGCATAAATGGGAGACATTAATGTTCAGATCTGAACATGATACACACGAATTAGCCTTTTTTGGAAAGTGTTCTTTTTGCTGAGTGGTGGTGGTGTTTTTTGTTTGTTTGTTTAAATATTGAGGGTCAGAAGAATGTGGAGGAAAGTACAAATTAACCCTATAACTGAAAAGGCTTCTCTACTGCTCACAGTGAGTAATTTCTTACTTCAGCTCTATGGGATAAACAAGCCAACATGGAAGATCTCTGTTAAAAAATATTAAGCATAGAAAACTGTGTGATGGAAAGGTGGATTGAACTTGGAGTGATCTTTTCCAAGGTAGTGTGTTGATTTTGAGGAGGTTTTTTTTCCCCTCTTTTGTTATTGCTGCTGCATAAGTTCTATTTCACAACTGCGTGTCTGTATAGGCAAACCTCTAAGGCAAGGACACTGTTGTATTACACTGTATAGCCTAAGCAGCAATGACAAAGGCACAAAGGTAAGTACTTTAAGAGGCCTTTATAAGCCATGGGAGGGTGATGTGCAGAATGTACAATAGTTACTTGTTCCCATCTGAAACAAAGACAGAACTATGTAGCACTTTAAAGACTAAGAAGATGGTTTATTAGGTGATGAGCTTTTGCGGACCAGACCCACTTCCTCAGATCAATATGTGGAAGAAAATCGGCACAACCATATATACCAAAGTGATGATTTTCTTCCACATATTGATCTGAGGAAGTGGGTCTGGCCCGCGAAAGCTCATCACCTAATAAACCATCTTGTTAGTCTTTAAAGTGCTACATAGTTCTGTCTTTTGTTTCAGCTAGACCAGACTAACACGGCTGCATCTCTATCATTGTTCCCATCTGTTTTGCCAAAAGGAGAAAAAAATCAAATAGATGTAAGTTAGCTTGGAAGTGTTCTCATGCCTGAGTCTCCTGATTGAGAGACCATCTGCTGTGGGTTTTGTTTGTTTGTTTGTTTTTTTAATACCAGAATGCTTGGCATGAAAATCCAGCAATTCCTTAAAATTTGGTTATCAGATCTCTCTGCAACTTCATCCTCACATCTCACTGTCACATTTTACCTCCTCCAGTTTCAATGTACCATGGATTTCAGCAGCTTAATGCAAACAAACAAAAATAAATCCAAGTGCAAACATTTGTGCTTACAGCTTTTCATAATTATAGTTAAATAAGCTGCTCCAGTGAGAAGTTTGGTATGGCTGCCACGTTAGCGCCTGATAACATTTGTCCACAGCAGCTATGTTCTGTCCGTCACTGTCATAGTCCTGCATTTCAGTGGCACAGTCCTTCGCTGTCACTGTGAAGAGACAAAATCGACAGCTTATTTGCTACATACCAAGCTAGCTAGTAACACTGCAGAAAACCAGCAAATAAAAATGTTGGCTACCTTTGTAGCTATTCCAAAAATATTTCCTGCCTTATTTTATTGTCACAGAGCATTTGTTTTTGTTTTACTTTTCATGCTCTGCAAGGTACCACTTAGTTAATATTGCTTTTTAATTCCTCTACCAACCCCTCTCCCCTTTTACATGGCAAAAAAATCATTTGTCAGCTAAACGCTTTAATTTTTGAAACAATTATTTTGTGATGAGATCTAGCAAAGAAAGAAGAAATACCAGAATTATCAATTCCCTTCTCCCACATGTAATAAGCTTAAAATAAAACAACCCACCAATCCAAATGAACAAGTATTTAGTTCTATAATCAAAAAAGCAATGTTGAGCCTGATTGGCTGAACACTGTTTAATGCTTTATAATGAGAAACATCCCACAATACTGATTACAACAGCTTGAAGTAGCTAGGGTCAGTGGTGTAGATGCTTGAGATACTACACGTCATAAAGGCTGAAGGAGCATTTCATATAGGAGACAAACAAATGGAGTGCAGTGTGGGAAAATACACTACACAACAGTAAGCAAGAAATCTAAGAATCCTTACATGGCTTGAGGCAGCGTGATGTGACTGAGTACAGCACTGTTGAAATAATTGCAGCCCAGAACCCCTAGCTGCAGTAACTGTGTTTCTGACAGACAGCAATGTGAATACTACAAACAACTTCTCTGGTTACTCATTTTGATTTTTAAACTAATTTCCTTCTGCCATGTTTGAGCCCCTTGCATGTTCACAGTCCACTAATGTTAAACCACTGAGTTTTACTGATGTAAATGTTTGCACAGAGCAAATTTCAAAGCTGTATCACCATTATTAAACCCCAACACTTCACATTCATGAGGCAAGCATCCATAACCAACTGCACGTTTATCCATTCCGTGAGGGACGGTGGCAATACCATGTGACCCATCTAACCAATCACAATTTACCAACACAGCTTAAATCACAGATACTCAAAGAAAGGTTTCTGGACAATCCATATGCTATTTGATTTTTTAAAAACCTACAAAAATCCATCTAATACTTTCAAATAACTTGTTAGTCTGAAGGAGTGACAGGCTTCTCACTCTGTAGAGATGTTGTAGTCATTTCAGTCCCAGGATATTAGAAAGACAAAGAGGCTGAGGCAATATTTTTTATTGGATTAAATTTGTGTTGGAGAGAGAAACAAGATTTCACGCTATCCAGAGCTCTTCTTCAGGTCTGGGAAATGTACACAATGTGTCACAGTTCACAAGTTTCTCACTGACGATATGCCAACAGAAAAAAAGGCTTTAATTAATCAGATAAATTGTTCATTGTGAACTAACTATTCAGTCTCATGCAACCTTTTGTTATACAGGCAGTCCCCGGGTTACGTACAAGATAGGAACTGTAGGTTTGTTCTTAAGTTGAATTTGTATGTAAGTCGGAACTGGCGTCCAGATTCAGCCGCTGTTGAAACTGACCAGCAGTGGCTGAATCGGACACGCCTGGGGCAGAGCAGCTGGGGTGCTGCTGGATTGGTCCTGCAGCACCACTCCTCGGCGCTATTGGACCAACCCGGCAGCACCCCAGCTGCTCTGTCCCACGCATCCAGATTCAGCCACTGTTGAACCTGATCAGCGGCTGATTCCAGGAAGCCCGGGGCAGAGCAGCTCTGCCTCGGGCTTCCTGTAGTCAGCCGCTGGTCAGTTTCAGCAGCGGCTGACTTGGGAACACCTGGGGCAGAGCAGCTGGGGTGCTGCTGGATTGGTCCTGCAGCACCACTCCTCGGCGCTATTGGACCAACCCGGCAGCACCCCAGCTGCTCTGCCCCAGGCGTGTCCGATTCAGCCACTGCTGGTCAGTTTCAACAGCGGCTGAATCTGGACGCCAGTTCCGACTTACATACAAATTCAACTTAAGAACAAACCTACAGTTCCTATCTTGTACGTAACCCGGGGACTGCCTGTATATGGAATATTATAGACTCAGCATTTTCTTCTTAATAAAACCTTGAATTACATTAATATTGGGGGGAGGGAACAATAAAGACCTTTTTTTTCCAGACCTTCATATGGATACTGAGCTGTCAGATCAGATGGTTAGAGAAGCTGAAATGTGTTCTCTTCCTTCCCCAACATTAATCAACAGTTAAGATGACCCAAGATGGTTGTGTCAATTAGGTCAGCAGAGAACAAAATTCCCTATGTTCCACAGGCTCATGCATGTAAGGGCAGAACTCTTTGGCTGAAGAGTACACTCAGTCAGTGTGAACACTTAATGCTGGATATGTTACCTGAAATATTAGAGTTTCTTCCTTTTGAAAAGCCAGAGAATTGTTTGAAGGTACCTGCCCTGTCCTAGCAGGTTTAATACTGATATCTTTTCTGAGCCAGAGCTAGCGTGACTGTCAAAATATCCTGGCAGTCAACAATATGAAACACGTACCCTGCTGAGAGGAGTTAGTCCATGCTGGAGAATCAATGGTATCTTCTAACAATTGTGAGTGTCTTCTCTTTTTAGCTGATGCCAGGGAAATGCTTTAAAACATAACGTTGTACATTATTACTCCACAGAATATAAAGCTTAAGTGCCTGATTTCTAACAGATTTTTACTTCAAGTTCTGGTTTTGTTTTATTTTAACTGAATGAAATGGTTTATGCTTTTGAGTCTTAAATACCAGCATCCTTTTTATTCCACGTGACTAAGGAATTCACCTTTTTTAAAGCAAGTTTTACACAGTCAGCATATTATAGAGATAGCATTAATTTTGACTCAGTAGTATTAAAATCCCAGCTTTATTCTTGAATGGGTTTAGTCAGACATGATGAACTCTGTTCCTTCCTTCATGGATAAGAGAAAAAGCCATTTAAAGTGATGTTGCAGTGTGAGGAGGGGAGACCCCTGTAGGGTGTTTGCATCTCTTAAGCAGCATGGAGTCTAGTTCAACATGGGTGAAGGGACAGGACTGGAGGACCTACTATTATACAGATCCTTGAGGTCTTTTATTTACCAGACAGCTGTAGGGGAGAGAGTTATAAATAAAAATAGGATCCAATCCACAACCTGGGAGATGTTTAGCTTTTTCCTTTGCCTGTCAAGGTATTTAGATTAGGCACTGTAGGTAAAGGGTTTTGCCTTTTATCTCTATTTATCTCTATTTGTTTTATTAAATACCCAATACCTTTTGGTGGCTGAAAACTATATGAAATATATAGTGAACATTTTGTTTTATCACTTGAGTAAAAGAAACTTATTTTTCTCATGCCTTATGTCAGACTGCTCACTCATGAAAACAAAGTCCCTTGAAATGGGTGTTATAAAATATCATGGATATTTCTACCATCCCAGTTACTCTTTAGTAACTCTAACTTTAGTAATCTCTCTAACCATGTAACTTTTTTATTGAATTGATTTGCTTTTGATTTTAACCTGACTTTTAATCTTTAAAATATGGTGCTTAAAGAACAATAGCTGATAACGATCCCATAAATGTCTAAACAGAGCCACCATGTGGAGAAATGTGCACCCACAGGTATTTTTCTACACCTGGTTCTTTCCATTCTGAACCATATAGCTCTTAAGAGCAGCTGCCACCTTCCCTTTCTGTATCTTCCTTTCTTCCTTCCTACATAATAGAATTATACCTTACCCAGAACTATGGGAGATCCGAGGCTGAAGGTACGGATAATTTAAATCCAAACAGCTGGAGGATGTAGAAGTATTCCAGGGAGACATGGCATTATCTGTCTTGAGACAGCAGTCTTGGAAAATACTGCAGGGATGTCCATTGGTGTTCATGTCAGAGAAACTCTCAGGGTATCTAAAAGGAAATGTATCGGGAGCCCCTGCTGTAGGGAAGGAAAGTGACGGCCGCAGTCCAGTGGACCCTGCAGCATCATAATGTAAAGCTGTCAGGAACAACAAATGAAACAGTTTGGTCATAAACAGAATAAGAAGAATGCTAATAGTACAGTAAGATTAGAACTCACACAACCCACCCTTCAGCTTCGGTGGAGAATATGGTTCTGAGCCCGAGTCTGGTGGGGACTCTGGTAACTGGCTTTGCCTGGAGATGAAAAGGATAATTTCATTTCACTATGAAAAAAAATGTATAATAACCATAAGCCAATCTTTACCTCAAACCACATGAGCGAGTGGACCCAGTTGTCTTAAAAGCTTGCTCTGCCTATAAGACTTTTTAATTCCCCACTTGCTAGACTCCGGATGGGAGAGTCAGTATCTTTAGCAGCAGAAGGTGCCAGCTGGAGACAGATTGTTCCGGCTAATGCTTTGGCCTCTAGAACTTCAGCACTGTGGAGCCCAAGAGACACAAGGTAGGAATAGTGGCGAGGAAGGGGGTGGGACACAATGGACGAGGATTGAATTTGCATTGGTCTAATTCAAACAGAACCTAGAGCTAGGCCCTTGCAAGCTCACCAGGAAAGGGGGAATTCACAGAAGGGTTTCCAGGTAAGACTTGGGCTTCCTCAGTGGCCCCAGGCAGTGCATTTAGACTTATTTTTCATCCCTGTGAATTTTTTCAGCTCAGTCTGGAACCCCTTAAGAGGGGAACAATATCTGAATTTTTTATAGCTAACTCCCAAAATGACCAGGGATGCAGAGAATTGGTAGACTTTTTTTGAAGCACACAGCCCTGTTGAAGTACAACCACAAAAGCCTTATCATTTAAGACCGGCTATTCATTCCATGCACTAACCTCACTCCCACTTCTTTGTTCAATATATGGGGTAGCTGCCCAGAGCAGTCTTGGAACCTATTCTTGTCTTTTAGAAATCTGAACGAACAACTAAAATACATTGTAGATGAAGTTTTCATTAGGCTCATAGACATGTAAGGTGGTCTCTGACATCACACTACATTAAAATGTATCTTTTACTGTGTGGACACAAAGCTATGTCACCCAATGGATAACTCACAGTAAATATATGTTTACTGATAATTAGAAGCACCTTTCTTTCCACAGGTAAATCCCACACTCACTAATGCACAGCATAAGTCAATCAATTTTTGTTCTAATTCTGTTTAGAGAAGCACCTTTTAAACCCCATGAGGTTTCCCATTTAGAGTGATGAGTTCAGCACAGTTGTACAATGACTGTACGGAAACAAACAATTATGCACTCAGTAGTGATTGTAAATATTTAGGACGTCAGAGCCTTGAGAGTAATGCTGGCTAGAAGCCAAAGAGAAAGCCCTGGAATGTATAATTTCCTATTAGACAGGCATCATAGATAAGCAGAAGGGAATTCTGTTGTATCTTGCCGTTTGTAGAGGGGCCCAAGAAAGTCTGGTAAGTTCCATGCAGAACTTTGTGATTTGAAATGTTGCCACAGAGATGTTTGTGGACTGTCTCCTATTAGTAACATAAACTTTTATTTTATTGATGATGTTATTTGATTTACTTCTAGTTTCATTTCAAGTTCAGAACAATTTTTAAGGGAATGCTACATAACAGGGTGCAAAACATGGCTCAGAGTTTAGGAAAGAAGCCATCCATCTCTCTTCTGTGAGACAGAGCCTCATAGCTCACTTACAAACCCAGTTTCTCCTCACTAAAGGAAGAAAGAGCTTCATGTGTAACCTGCTGGTCAGTGTATTGTGTGTCCACTCCCGGCGTAGTCAACACTAAGAGGTTGGCTCTTCAAACTGCAGTGATTGGAGACCTGCCCTCTCTCCGCTCACCCCCACCTTCATTCAATTCCTGATGTTGGCCAAGAGGCAGCCCTCATGTATACACTCCAGCTGGCACTTTCAAAGGAGCCCCAGGAAGGGAATTGCCTATGTAGTGACATTAACAAATTGTCCAGAACTGGAAGAAACCCTCAGTTCAAGGTTGGAATTATTTAAACCCAAATGGAAATGGAAATTCAGTCAGAACACACTTTTGTAAATTTCAGCCTCCAGGTCTGATTTGAAACACTGCCTGAAGAATTGATGCTTAGGATTTATAATGAGACAGATTAATAACAAAAAGCTAATGGCAAAGGATTTTTTTGGGGGGGGAGGAGTCGAGCACAATTTGCTTGTATGACACCCGCTGCCCTGCTACAAGGTTAAACTGAAAACAATTATTTAAAGGGATGCTGTTAAGTTAAAAATATAAACACAAAATGACCTTACCTTCGTTGCAAAGACTTTTATGATTAAACTACAGTTTCATCTATTATTTAAACTATTTAATTTTATATGTCTTAGATTGCACTCTGTGAAAGACAAGTCAGTTTCACTTTTGTTTGCAACCCATTCCATACATGTTCTGGTACATTTCAACATTCTGGGCTAGATTTGATTTGGTGAACATCCTTTAAGAAGTTAGTGTATGAATAACGTTTAAAGTTTTCTTCAGAGTAATGATATATTTCTACAGCTTTTCAAACTACGTTTAAGATTTTAAATGTTGTTTTTTGAGAAACTAAATTTAGGAAAGTGATTTGCCTCAAAATTTGAACTGTACATCTATAAAAACCTGCAACTTCCTTTCAATACACTATATGCATATTTCCTGGTTTCAAACACTGCCTCAGATACCCTCTTGGTTTCAGTTTAAATTAAGATATTTCAAATAAAAGTCCAACAACGTATTTTAAACTCTACTATAGAAAGAAAATAAATGTTCATTGAAAGGAGAAAAACTAGATTCATGTTGGAAAAATACCATTGTTTGTGTTTTAAGAAAGTAAAGTATAAGTTTGAATTAAAACTTGGTACATCCACTAATTAGCAACTTGAAGAACAAAAATTTCAACATTTTACTTTTCATTCATCCCCTCCTCTCCTCCCCACCCCCGAACACTTTTAGCCTTTACTTTGGGAAAAAGTAGGGGAAACTACATATTGCTTCAGCTTCACTGTGTAAAAGAAATGCAGATGTGTTCCATACCACTCACAGTTAAATATATAATAGCAACACAGTGAGATTCTACTCTGTATTTGTGCCTGCAGCATAATATGCTTTGTTTCTAAATAGCATTTAAAATATAATTCCAGTTTTTATATACACTACACCATGGATGATATCTGCTGTATTAGTGATGTATACTTGTCCCTTCTTATTAATATGAGTATCTTCATTTGAAGAAAATTAATTTTCTCGTATCTGTACTTTAAATATAGCAGGGTTCTTTATGTGGATTTATCCATAAGATTTTTTTTCCTGCTTGTTATGCTTCAATACAGATAATTGTAATTTTAGTTATATAAATTTGACATGAATAGTTATTTAACTGTTAATCGAATAATAAAATATCACTATACTTCATTACAATTGAAATCAGTTAAGCCTCAAAAATAGGACACATTTTATTGTGATACATCTGGTATTTTGCATGTATCTAAGAATTACATAATTATACAGCAGTTACCTACAGGTGTACAGTACTATATATCCTGTAAATTAATAGTGATAGATGTGTTGTAGGTTTTTTTCTGTTTAACAAGTTAACTGTCAAGACAATATTGTCACAAGAAGTGAAGCCTCATCTTGAAGGAGGTTTAATAATCTGAAATCTGGTTCTTTTTATATGCTTAGTGATACTGAAAACTAAGACCATAAGTATCCAAGTAAATCATTGCTTAGATTCTTATTTTTCTTTTCCTGTGAACTGAGATCTAGCTTTTCATAATTCATGAATGAAAAAGGGTCAGTAATAGTTCCCTTAACCCATTGTAAATAAGTTCAGTGCATGCATAAGTCCAGAGTGAGAAGTGCTGTGAGGTTTTATACACATACATACCCACACATTCTTTCACCAGGTGTTGGCAGGTTTCCAGTTTTGAACAATAATCTTTTGTATTTAATGATAGTCATCTGGAAGTTAGAATGAATTATCTGTGTTTTATGGTCTGATGGATTTGTGGTTCATAGTAAGTTGTCCTCGATTATGCCCTGTTTGATGGTATATCACTGTAATTTATACTTTTTTTTAACGGAGATAAGTGCTTTGTTTCTTAATTATTAAAGGGACACGAGGATGAAAGAGGTAGATTTTAATCAACAAACAGTAATAGGTTTGATATCTTTAAACTGACCACAATAACTAATGTGAAATTTGTAAATGAACCTCCCGCTCTTTTAAACCTACTGGATCTTATTAGAAAATCATGTTTCAATTGCCATCTCCTAACTCTTTCTTCAAGCCACATAGTTTCCAGAAAGGATCAGGGCTTCTGTCTGATCAAGTTACTTTCTGCAGAACACAGATGTGAATGGGACTTGAGGTGTGATTCCTGTGTTCAGACAGTAGTAATGTCATGATAACATAACCCAGGAAATGTGCTAACTAGTTCTGTTCTATTGCTAATACTTACAGTGCTCCAAATTCCAAGTCACTGCCAAGGAATTCTTCCAACATACTTGTATCCACCATCGCATTCTCCAGAGCTCCATGCACATCTTGCCCTTCAATTCAAAACAAAGGAAGCTTGAAATTCAGATCACGGGTACCCCAAACCCTAATACTCCAGACTGTGGCACATGAAAATACCTGCTTTCTCATGTGTACAAAAGACCACCACATTCCCCCTCCTTTCAGATAAAACCCTCCTTAGGTGGGCTACATTTTCATGTGCAAATCTAGCCCCAGTATAAGAGAAGGGATGGGAAATGGAGGAAGTAGTGGACAGCATGCAAGAGGTAATGAGAGGTGACAAAGCAGCTGTAGACGTGAGACGTTTTCCTCACATCACAGTTTGAGAACCAAAGGTTGTGTGCATTATTCAATGAAACAAATGTAAAGCAGGTAGATGTAGGTCTATATTTTGCATCCTATAAATTAAGGTCTAGAAGACTATTTCATTTCCTAGTCATCTGCTTGCTGGGATCAGTACAAAGCACTAGTTTAGAAGTGAGGTGTTCTGTTTACCAGACTTGGGCTGTCAAACTGGATTTGAAAACCTTTGAAACACATAAAATCTGCTTTCCTTTTAATTGGTTTAACTTCTTAGAACAGAACAAAATATTAGAAATCTGATGCTAGATGTTGTCTTGCTGATATTTTCTTTACAAGATCAGAGCACTAACACATAGAATTTAGTAATGAGTAAAAAGGTTCAGTACTTTGTCCTTCGTTGCTTAGTAACTAAAGGCTATAAATGGATTTTATGATTAAAAGGTCTATAGCATTAACAAGGACTTTTGAAAAAGTCAGCGGGAACTCCCCAGAAAGATAAACAATCTTACTTTTAAAAAAATACTTTGTGGCCTTTCTAGTTTTATAATAAATCTATTATATATTTGAGAGAGTTTGTTCATCTGTTTGTCCATCCATCCGTGAGTTACCTAAATGGTAAGAACTAGGATCATCAAATTTGGTATGCAGTTTCCTCTTATCATAACTTAAAGCAAGGTCAAGGTTTGGTTGTACAGGACAATGGAATGTGCATGGAATGCAATTGTCTCTCATCAAACAGAATGTTAGGGCTATGATAGCAAGGACAGTTATTCTCCAGAATGACCACGGGAGCAGTAAGTGCCCCAGTCCCAGAGAGCAGCCACTAACCAGATCCTGAGCTTCACCACACCCATCTCCATCCTCTTCCCTGAGCTCCTCCTAATCCCTTCCCTGACTTCTGCATCCCATGCCCTTTGGCCTGAGCCCCTGATTCTGCACCCCCCCCCCCCCCAGCCCTGATTCCCTCCTCATCCCCCAATCCAGACTCCTACACCCACACGGCTCCCAGCTCCCTAGGATCCAAGCAACAACAAGTACATCTTCTAATACACTATAAGTAAGGCTGCATGGAGAACACTTGATAGGCATCTGCATGTGTAAATGGCTATGTGTCCTTAAGTTCCATTCTGCTCTACTCTGTTCTCTTCTCAGCCTGAGATGACTCACTGCTTGTAGCTTTGGACATCATTTAACTGCAAACACCATCCAAATCTGCATATGTCAGTTTACACAGCTTCTTTCTATGTACCTGCCAGCACCTTCATGCAGCATAACTTCCCACTGCTAATATGTTTAGAGATCTCAAAACAATTTATGGTGTGTGTATTTAGGAATTACTCACCCATTACCAAAATGGCATTACCTCTGTTTGCTATTGAATCCCAACTTGACTGCCCTCAACACAAAAGATAACAATAGGGAAGAGTTTGAAGAGGTCTGATCAGCATTCCTTTTCACCACAGTCAAATTTTTAAAAACAAAACCCAATGGAAATCATGAGCATTTCAATCAAGTAAGGTAAACACACAGAACAAAAAACTTTTGCAACTACTTCATTGTACAGGTTTAACTTGGACTTTTAAAAATGACAGTCAAGGTCTTAAAGGTGCCTATTCCCAGACTTACTGTACAATCAAGATTTGTTCTCAGAGAGCAAATTTGGTATCTACCTTTTCTAAAGTATCCCAAATACGATTTTCCAGTTTAAGGAAAATATTTACCTCAGTCATCTTTCTGTTGTTGGTGAGTTTTTGTTTTTTTGTGGGTTTTTTTTTTCCATTTTCCAATCTCTCATTCAAGTAGAAATTGTGCTTTATTCCACCTGCAAAGACTGATTTTTTTTTTGTAACTAGCAAAAGTGTGCTACAAATGTTTGCAACTCCACCCTCATAGCAATCTAGAAATATAGCACTCATCTGAAGAGATCCAAGAATGGGAAACGCACACACTTTTAATAAGTGTTTGGAATAATATCTGCCTACATTAAAGAGAAAAACAAAATTGTCTTTGACGGAAACACCCTGGTATTTACACCCTACATGCTACTGTAATAAGCCTTGTACAAAGTATGCCTTGTAAAGCATCATCTGAAAATTCAATTTTCTGGTTAGTATTGCCCTGGTAAAATTTGTATGTCAATACTGTTTGTGGTGACAAAGTTTGCTTTGCAACTAAGATCGTTTTTTAAAGTAGATGCTTAAAAAGCATCTACTTTCATGCTGGAAGGGCATAACAAATGGGGTCCCGCAGAGCCAGTTTTGGGGCCAGTTCTGTTCAATATCTTCATCAATGATCTAGATGATGGCATAGAGAGTATGATTATTAAGTTTGCAGATGATACCAAGCTAGGAAGGGTTGCAAGTGCTTTGGAGGATAGGGTCAAAATTCAAAATGATCTGGACAAACTAGAGAAATGGTCTGAGGTAAATAAGATGAAGTTTAATAAGGACAAATGCAAAGTGCTCCACTTGGGAAGGAACAATCAGTTTCACACATTCAGAATAGGAAAAGACTGTCTAGGAAGAGGAACTGAAGAAAAGGATTTAGGGGTCATAGTGGACCACAAGTTAAACATGAGTCAACAGTGTGACAGTGGTGCAAAAAAAAAAAAAAAACAGGAGTGTTGTGAGCAAGACATGAGAAGTCACGTCTACTCTGCGCTGATTAGGCCTCAATTGGAGTATTGTGTCCAGTTCTGGGCACCACATTTCAAGAAAGATGTGGAGAAATTGGAAAAGGTCCAGAGAAGAGCAAGAAAATGATTAAAGGACTAGAAAACATGAGCTATGAGGGAAGACTGAAAGAATTGGGCTTGTTTAGTTTAGAAAAGAGAAAACTGAAAGGGGACATAATAGCGGTTTTCAAGTATCTAAAAGGGTGTTATAAGGAGGAGTGAGAAAAATTGTTCTCTTGGGCCTCTGAGGATAGGGCCAGAAGCAATGGGCTTAAATTGCAGCAGGGAGGTTTAGGTTGGACATTAGGAAAAACTTTCTGTCAGGGTGGTTAAACACTGGAATAAATTGCCTAGGTTAGACAGACACCCATCAGGGATGATCTAGACAGTGCTTGGTCCTGCTGTGAGGGCAGGGGACTGGACTCAATGACCTCTCGAGGTCCCTTCCAGTTCTAGTGTTCTGTGAATCTATGATTCCAGATGCTAATAAGCATTTTCTCTTTGTATTTCTTGTAACTGTTTCTGATTTTTATACGCCTCATTACTTATACTCATTTAAAATCTCTCTCTGCAGTTAATAAAGTTGTTTCCCTGTTTTATTGAATTCAGTGGGTTTAAACTGAAGTGTCTGGGTAATACTAATAAGACAATATTATTCCCTTAGGAATAACAGACGTAATACATTTGTACCGTGCAGAAGAGGGCTGGGCAGCACAAGACATACATTTCTTGAGGAAGACCTGAGACTGTGATTATGTGGGGGTCACCCTGAAGTATAACCAAGAATGGTAAGAGCCAGGATGTGGTTGGCAGGCTGTAGTTACATGCAGACATTGGTGTGGCTTGCATGTGGAAAGTCTGTTTGTGAGCATATTGTGAGAGAGGTACAACAGCAAGGGATTGAAAAGCACCCACAGATTCAGGACAGAGGTGACACAATCCCTGCCTGGTCTGGATTATGCCCCAGTATATCACAGTACTACTTTTTAACTCAGTGAGAAGCTAATACAACTGTGGAATAAGAAGTTGGACTCTTCTCAAGAATTCCTAACCAAGTTCCAACTGCAGAATCTTTACTGCAGATGATGATGTGCAAACCAGAACACAGCTTGGACTTCAGATTCGTCGTTGAGTGCCAGGTCCAACTAACCCTTTGTTCCACTGGTTAACTACCCTCACTGTTAAAAATTTATACCCTATTTCCATTCTGAATTTGCCTAGTCATTGGATCATGTCATACCTTTACTCTGCTAGACTGAAGAGTCCATTGCTAAATATTTGTTCCCCATACAAGTACTCTTTGTTAAGCTATATCAATGGAGCTCTTCGACACTATCCCTATAAGATATATTTTCTAGTTCTCTAATCATTTTTGTGGGTCTTCTCTATATTCTCCCCACTTACCAACATCCCTTTTGAACTGTGGGCACCAGAACCAGACAGAGCATACAGGCGCAGTCTCACCACTGCCAATCAGAGAGAGGCATAAATGTCTCTCTACACCCTTTCGAGATTCCCATTTAATGCATCCCAGAATCACGCTAGGTCTTTTGGCCACAGCATTGCACCAGGAGTTCATGTTTAGCATCTTTCTTCAGAGTCCCCCATCCTATAAGTATGACCTAAGGTCTTTGTTCTGAGATATGGCCAAATGTAAATGTACCTATTAAAAACATATTAATGGTGGTAAAGAAGACAAACAGTGGAGACTATGGTGGCGTCTGGCTGATGATGAGATCAGCATGAAATCTGGCAAGACATTTTTACAGAAGGAAAATTAGACAGAGTTGAAGATCAGATTGCAGCCTTTGAGAGGAGTAAAAACACCAAGAAAATGGTGTTCTGTCAGCTTCAATAGCTGAGCAGGGTTAGACTCTCACTCTGTGATAGGTTCTCAAGCTCCATGACATTGCCATATCCTGGGAATTTTCTTAAAAGAGCTCTGGAGATGTACTAGAAGACCCAGCCAATCCCTGGTACTTTCCTCCCTGTCATTCATCACTGGGAACTCCTGGGAATTATGGTTTCCTTTATTCCTATCTCTGCTGTACAAAGGAGAGCATAAAGGAATCCTTCCAGGGCTCTTATGTCTTAGCCCTCATTTACTCTTGCATTCTGTTCCTTGGAACTACTGTGTAAATACCAGAGTATTTACCATTTCCACGTATTTTTTACCCAAACTAAAAAATCACATTAAAAAATACTAAGTATGCCTTAAGACACACATGCCATCGGCAATAGTTTCACTTTCTAAAATCGTTTAGTCGCTTTAGGAACTATACTCTTACCTTCAAAGAACTGCTGCAGGGCCTCATTTTCTCCCACCACATCCATGGCAAAAGTAGAAGTTATTTTTCTCTTCACAAGCTTAGGAACATCAGATTATGAAACAGTTGCACCGTCCTCTCTTTTCCAGCTGATGTATTTTTGAATACGTTCATTTTCATGTCATCATGTTCTCAACCAACTGATTGCCTTTGCTCCACGGAGGAGGATTCTTTCAAAACTAATGCCAAGCAATGGACTCAAAGCTTCTACCACATATAGGGAAGAACTTGACAAGATTTTAGGAGGAAAATTGTAGAAGGCATATTTTTCTTACTTCATGTGGAAAACTGTAAAATATGTCTATCATCTTCCTTGTTTTAAGAACCTTTGCCCCCAAGTAATGCCCATAGCCACACATGCGCAAACAAGAAGGCAATAAAAATTACTTATCTTGTATTTGGCCTTCCACACTGGTATACTGTGTGTAAATGAGTAAGTACTATAGATGAAAATTGATGTGGATGATTAAAGATAACAGAAAAACACCACTAATTACTAGAATTGTGCATTATCTAGGGGTTTTTTGCGGATCCCTGCATTATACTCGAGTGTTCCATACATATGAATTTAACCTCAAAATATTCCTTTGGGTAGCAATCCTATTTAACAGTCATGAAATTAAGGCACAGAGAGATATTGCTTTTTTCTATCTCAAAGTTTATCATGCAGGTTTTCTTTGCCAGAGAGGGGGGAGGAGAGGAAGAGGAAGAGAGGGATGTTTTTTTGCAGTCAGGGATTACAAAGCTTTATACTGTGGGCTCTGCTCCAAGAGGCAGTGACCATGGCTGTTATTCTGGTCTTAATAAATCACCACCTTTAAGACTGATTTGCTATTCTCTTGTAATTTCCCTTCAGTCCCTTAAAATCTATTTCCTCTCTAAGCAGCTGTTATATTATACATTTTATGGTTAAGAGACCAACCTCTTAGGGGACACTATGCAGCTCTGTGACTGGATGTAAAGGGAGTACATAATAACAATTAAACAATTGTTGCTTCTACAGTGATGTTGACTTCTCCACATCTAGTCTTCTTGCAGGATTATTGAGTTTGCATTCAAACCTCGATATTCCAAGTCAAATGCTTCTTGGAGGTACCCCCCATTTGTGGATATGACAGATTTCTCCATCTCACCCTAAGGACAAATAGAAAACTACTTGGAGCGTATATAGTGTTTTCATTTCAAATGAAGGAAGGTGGACGGATGGTAATGCACTGGATTCAGGAGATCTTAGGTCAGCTCCCAGCTCTGATGCAGACATCATGTGACCTTCAGCATGTTTAATTCTGTGCCAGATACCAAACCAACTTCTCTGCTGGGATGAGCATTATAATCAATTCGTAAATTGTAGAGCATTATCAGGTATCATTCAGTTACAGAAAAAGTAACTCTGAAAATGGTTTGATTTTAACCACAGAGAAGTTTAATCTTTCAAATGCTCAAAATAAAAAGTAATGTAAGATCTTTAGCAAGCATTTATGCGTATTATCGAGAAAGAGAACCATAAATATATTGTCATTTTCCACTAAAAATAGCAGGTAAATGAAATACACCTTTAGACTATATTGCTTTAACAGATTATTAACCTTTTGACCCTGGATGCCAAAATTCAGCTTTCTACAGTGGAATCCATTGAATTAATGGTAGGATATAAAAAAATCCTTTCACACAATTGTTTCAAAGAATACACTGCAGGCAACAGAGTTTTACTGGGGAGAAATGGACGTTTCTAACATACTGTGTGTTTGTGATGGGATACACCAACCCTGCACTGGGCCAGCAAGAGTTAACCAGGCCTATATGGCCAAGAGAGCCCTACCCCCACAGCCCCACTGGATATGCACCAACTGGAAGACCCTTATAAAAGCCAGGGGAGCAGCTCAGTCAAAGCTGACCACCGCAGGGGAAGGAGCTGCCACCAGAGCTCTGAAGCAGGAACAGCAGTTGGATGCCATGGCAGAGACCAGCCAGCAGAGACCAGTCAGGGAAGGGCCCAGCTTGGAGGACACAGGTGGGGAAGATGCTGGCAATCCTGAACAGGGTAGGAAGTAGCCCAGGGTGGGAAATTGGACTCGCCAAGAGCTCAGCATGTTTCAGGCAGACTCTCTGCTGAGCTAGTGGTGAGACATGCCCACCACTGACTGGGCCCTGGGCTGGACCTGATGGAGAGGGAGGGCTCAGGCCCCCTTGACCCATCTCCATTAGCTCCCCAAAGGGGACACTACACTTGGACTGCTGATTTGTCAGTGGGGCAAGAGTCCAGCTGCCAGGTGCTGCTACTGGCCTGGGGATGGTAACAATTACATGGTGAAGCAACCCAGATGGGACCTAAGAGGCTCTGTGCCCTGCCTCTGGGGGTGGGGGAGCTGGGCTTGTCACCCGGTGACATTACACACATTTGTTCCATTAAATCTTGCAGCTCATTCCATTTACTACTGTAAAAAAGAAGTGAGGCATCTACCTTTTTGCAAAAATAAACTTAGTGGTTCAAAGACATAACCTGGAAATTATGTTTGTTTGGAATCTTTGGTAAAAATTATTATTAGATCAACAGTGTACTTTTGTCTCTACATTTTAATTTGATAAGACTATTGGTGGATAAATCAATAATGATATCTGTAAAGAAAAGCTGCTGTCAGGATCAAAGACAAGCTAGTTGTTCCCCCCCCCCCCCCAAAGTGCTTGTGTGAGAAATCTGTTACGCACTTCTGGCTCTGTTTCATATATCCTGATCAGCTGGTCTGCCTCTAGAGCAGGCAAAGTGCCACTTGAGCAACGAAACATTTTTCTTAAGTAGCCATGATCATCTTTCTTCAGTTTCCCTTTGCAAGCAGTTCTACATGTGAGGAGATCAACAGCAATTAACTGATTAATCTTAGTTTTCCATCCAGGAAGGCATGCAGAAGTGATTGAATGTTCAATAGCAGTTGACAGAAACTGGTGTATAAAAAATTACTGATTGGATGCTCTTAATATAATATAGAAGACTAAAACAGATAAATGCAAACAGAATGCATTTGCCATGGCTGCGTCCCCTGGCTTGCCTGGATCCAGCCCCCAAGGCTCAGGGCTCTGCCCCAAGCATTGGGGAGACCATGCTGGCACTCTAGTCCCCCTGCCACCCCTCCACTGGGCTGGAATACACAAAATGTACTAGCCTAGTGCATAGGCGTGCGCAGCACATTTCATTAGGTTGTGCACCCAAAGAATTTTTTTAAAATGTACTCTTTGACCCACATTAGCCACACCCCTGACTACCCCCCATTAGCCACGCCTCTGAAGGCAACACTCTCAAGGCAAGATGGACACATGACCAGAAGTAAAAGGTGTCACGTGACACCCCCCTCCCCCAAGGACTTTTCCCACCATCCTACCACAAACTGGGATTAGTTTGGCCACCACCAAACCCCCAACGTGCAACTATCCTGCAATTGCATTAACCCAATGTGAGACATTAACTCAGGGCGGAGAGGCTGGGGGAAGTGTTCCCTCTAAGAGTTTCCTCCCATGAGCAGAATGAATTTTGTGTTGTGCACCAGTACTGAGTTCATGTGGCTTGTTTGGATGTTCCACTGTGGCACCCATTATTAATGAATATCTTATGTCTACTTTTTCCCTCTGCTGCCATGTCTCCTCCCCTTCCTCCATCAGCTCCCCTGGTGCCTGCTGCCCCCAACCCCTCACCCTCCTCTGCTGTCCTGACTCCTCCCCTTCTCACTGCCCTCAGCCTTCCTGAGACCTGCCCCCCTCCACCAGCCCTTCTCTCCCTCCTGTGCCCACTGCTCCAGTAGCCCCATTCTGATCACGTGAGCTACCCCTCCTCATCCCCTCTCAACACCTCCCTCTACACACCTGCCCTGCCTCTCCCCTCTGGTGCTGGTCCCTCCCTTGCAGGTGTCTGCCCTTCTGCTTCACCCCTAGAATCCCCTGGCACCTGCACCTTCCCTTACTCCTGCATTCTCCTGGTGCCTCCCCCTTCCCTCACTGCCCCTGCCCCCTTTGCCCTCTTTTCCCCTGATGCCCACCCCCTCACCACCCTTTGCCCCCGTTCCCCTCATGTCCCTATGCCCTCACACATGCCTTGCTCCATCCCCACCTCTCATGCCCACCCCTTCTTTCAAGCCTTCTCCCAGCACCCCCCCC